GACCTGCAGCCATGAGCAGCACCTGCGCGCCTGTCTGTATTCCCGCGACCTGCAGCCATGAGCAGCACCTGCGCGCCTGTCTGTATTCCTGCGACCTGCAGCCATGAGCAGCACCTGCGCGCCTGTCTGCCTTCTATCTTTCTCTTGACCTCAAACTAAAATGAAGGTTGTGTTCCTTAAAATGGGAGAGATTATAAGACGTGCCGATTACTTGCGAAGTAAACAAGCCTGTAATAGTAACATACGATTATTAGGATTATTATATTACTTCAAACTTTTATAATTGCATGCAACCACGTCATATTTTCCTGAGAAATATAATAAGCTGAGACTTCATAAAATCGCTATTTAATAATTGAACAAGTAGTTCGAACAGCTTTGCCTCGTTCTTCACTATATTTACAAAAAAATTGCATTTATTTATATTTTATTGCAACACCGTGGCAGCACAAGCGAGTGCTATGTAAGACTTGAGATTTTTGGCCTTCAATCAGCTTATCTCTTCACATACAAAATTCTTGCACTGGGACGACCGGCTTCTCTGCTCTCATGCTCCATATTTTGTGTTAGCATAACATGATCACGCACAGAGAGTGTAATTGTTAGGAATCCTAATTGGCATAAAGCCATAAACCGATGTGAATCGACGTCCGATGCTATGACATGACATTGACAGGAGTCCACTCAAGTACCTAACGACAAACGTGCAACTAGAGAAGACTATAAGCATTACTTATATTGTCAACCAAACAGATAAAGTAAAACTGAGAATTGTACATTATTGCTAGAACCAAATGAAATAATTCAATACGATTCAATGGATCTTGCGCAGGCATGAACATGATGCGGCAGACTGATGGCCTAACTTCTACGTAGCCTAAACTGCACCTAATTCCGGATCGATATTCATAACATAGCATGACATAGCGATGTCGGCGCTGAAGAGTAGGCCTGATGTGGCCTATCGCCGAATCTTACTTTTCGTGACTTGTTCACAGATCTAAAATCGTATCATTTGACCGGATCTTTTCAGGACTGAGGCTAGTTTCAAATAGCTACTAGACTCGTTCTATTACAGGCAAGCGAGCGCTAAGACGAGGGCGAAGCCGCGCAGGCAACGAAGAGCTCACACAGGTTTTGTTGAAAGTTTAAATACGTGCTGTATATATTGAAGACGGCTTCATTCCCTATT